GTTGGACTGTGGTATCCAAAAGGCTCTTCGTGTCTTCTCGTTGGCTACTCCGACTCGGACTTTGCCGGTTGCAAATTGGACCGCAAAAGTACGAGTGGGACTTGCCACTTTCTTGGTAGCTCTTTAGTTTCATGGTTTAGCAAGAAACAAGTCAGTGTTGCGTTATCCACAACCGAAGCGGAATACGTTGCCGCCGGTAGTTGTTGTGCTCAAACTCTTTGGATGAAGCAACAACTTGTGGACTATGGCCTTAGTATCAGTCACGTTCCACTTCGTTGTGACAATACTAGCGCCATAAGCTTGACGAAGAATCCCGTTCTTCATTCAAGGACGAAACACATTGACATTAGGCACCATTTCATTAGAGATCATGTTCTCAAAGGTGATGTCGAAATTGAGTTTGTTGAAACACACAACCAATTAGCCGACATTTTCACAAAACCTTTAGAGAAAGAGTCGTTCTTCCGCATTCGTAGTGAACTCGGAATCCTTGACTCCACGATGATCTAATTTGTGCACTTTATCATTCTTTCATCTTTGCTGGAACACTTAATAACTTGAGCGTCGGAGGGTTTTCTAACTCTTTTTTTGCAGGGACGGTTCGAAGTGAAGAATTCTGGAAATTAGGGGGAACCAGCGATGGGTAGGCCATACCATCGCTGGGAAGGAAGTATTATCTAACCAGAACCCCTCTTCCCATCGATGGGTACTTTCTCCCATCGATGGGTAATTGACTCTTTTTTTAAAAAATACTTAACGGATTTCCAGAAACACCTTACCCATCGATGGGTATTTCATCCCATCGCTGGGTGAAGGACTTTTGTCAAAACTTTTTTCCAGAAACACCCTACCCATCGATGGGTCTTTTATCCCATCGCTGGGTGAATGATTTCAGTTTCAAAAATTTTTCCCAGAACCTCCCTACCCATCGATGGGAACTTTCTCCCATCGCTGGGTGTTTGACACTTTTTTTTAAGCGTTTTATCGGATTTCCAGTAGACACCTTCCCATCAATGGGTGAGTTTTACCATCGCTGGGAAGGCAGCCTTGTTTTCTCCATCGCATTCCAGTGGCGACCTTCCCATCGATGGGAAGACCTACCCATCGCTGGGAAGGCTGGTGCATTTCAAAAATTCAGAGCCGTTGGGCACCACATTAATTGCCCAACAGCCATATTTTTGAATCCAAACGGCCAAATCCTCCCTTCCCTATATATATCCATCATATTTGTTCATTCTAATACACCATTAACATCATACTTTCATTCCTTCATCCAAATCTACTTAGTTCATCTCTCGTTTTTCAAAAGCATCTCAATCATGGCCGGAGGAAAGTCCAAGAGCAAGGCCTCCAAGAAGAAGACCGTTGCCGAGGCCACGAGCTCTGTGCCTCAACCCTTCCCGTACCTGGACGGATCCTTCTTGGAGTTCGGGTCGGAAGAGGAACTCACACGCTTCATCACCCACTTCTCCAAACGCCGCATCTCTCCGCCAAGGGTGCTGCCCGAGTTGTTTCCTCAGTAGAAGGGATACCACGACCTCGACGATCAACTGAAGGAGTCGGGTTTATGGCCCTTCGTCTCTAAGAGCCGCACCTCGTTCAATCCCGCCTATGTCCGGGCCTTCTACTCCAATCTCCACCGGGACGGGGATACCATCCGCAGTAGCATCAATCTCAATGACATAGAGTTTGACTTGGCTACTTTTGCTCGGGTTGCAGGGCTGCCCACCCGCGGTGACGACATCGCGACATATGGTGGCGATGATTGGATTCTCAACAACGAGGCGGAGGTCATCCAAGAGCTTGGAATCACCAACCTCATCCGTCACAGCGGCGCACCAACCATCCACTCAGCCCCGCCAGAAAAGCGTCTCCTACTCTACATCCTCACCCGGATTCTTCGCCCCCGGGACAGTAGCCACACCTCTCTCTCCAACGAGGATCTCAAGGCGGTTCATGCTATCATCCATGGCGCCTCGATCAATTGGGCAAAATACATCATGATTCACATGGCGGATTGCGCCTCCATCACCACCGAGCGGAGCTTGCCATACGCCTTCCTCGTCATGCACCTCATCGTCTCCGCCGACATCCACATCACCGGGCCAAGCACGAAGATGACGAAGATTTGGATCATCCAAGATAGCACCTTCCGGAAGAAGTCCGGAGACCAAGACGGCGCAGGACCAAGTCGGGCTCTAGCCCCCGCTCCCGCCAAGGCCTCCTTACAGTCCATAGCCGATACCCTGAATCGGCTAACCATCACCATGGACGGCATGGGCCAATACTTGGAGCGGATGGATAGCACGCTGCAACGCCAACACCACGACATGAAGGCGTTCTTCCGCGGCATCAACTACGTCCCGCCGCCCTTTGACAGCACCTTCCTCGGCCAAAACTATGAAGGCGAGGATGAAGAGGATAACTCCTATGCACCTTCCTCCGCATTTTCTCCTTTTTTTAATGAATAAAAGTTCACTTTTAAATTCTCAAGTTTACTTTTAATTCTTTTTGTTAATGTCAAAAGGGGGAAGATATCTAGGTTATGCATAAATTGAGGGGGAATTTTAAAAAAAAAAAATCAAATGTCATCTTTTAAGGGGGAACTCCTTTTAAAAGTCTCAAAATTATCCTCCTATGCATAACCTCGTCTCGTTTGCCATTATCAAAAAGGGGGAAATTGTTGAAACACGGGCATGTCACGTTTTCGTACTAAAGCCGTGTTCGTTTTTTTTTGTAACAGGTTTTGATAATGCCAAACCGCCGTGATCAAGACAAACATTGAATATACAAGGCGAAGAACGAAGATAAAGAACAAGAGCTAAAAGAGACCAAGAACGAAGACCGCAGTCTTTAGTATTGTTGAGTCGGTCATAATTGTAATCAAGACCGACCCAACCCTCACGCATTGGCTCTTTAGGCTAAAACCTTTCACTGCATTTCTTACATCATAAAAATGTTTTTCAAACTTGTTTAAGTCATTAAAAACACTTGGTGTTCGCCCAAACCAAAAACAAAGCCATCCAGCGTTCAGGTTTCAGAAACCGGCGTTCGGCTCTCGGTTATCGGCTATGGTTTTTGGCGTCCGAACCAAGCGAGTGGTTTTCAACTTTTTATGATTGGTTTTCACTCTTTGGCATGATTAAACGGTTCTCCAACAAAAACACTTTGAAAACCATCTTTCGCTTTTGGTCGTTTGACAAAAATCATTCAAAACGGCATGAAATTGGCTAGCCGTGGTTTTCACTGAAATGACGTGGTTTTTAAAGTGTCTTACTTACTTTCTTAGCCAAATACATCAAATAAGTGTTTTAAACACTTGGTTTTTATTTTGGAGAACTTTAGATTTTTCGGTCGGTTTTTGCATCGGTTGGCTAGGCCGTGGTTAAGGCAAAAACCATGGGTTCTTGACTAACCACCCACCCAGCGATGGGAAGATCTTCCCATCGATGGGTAAGCGGTCCCTTAGCCAAACCAATTTCTAGAACCATGCCAAACAGCGATGGGAAGTTTTACCCATCGCTGTTCAAGCCTTGGTGCCAAGTTATCACAAGGCAGAACGACCTTGCCCAGCGATGGGAAACCTATCCCATCGATGGGAACCCAGCGATGGTAAGGATATACCATCGATGGGAAGGGATGACCGTTGTAGGTCATTTAAGATTGATTCTTTCCTTGTTTGGAAGTCAACCTCCCACCCAGCGATGGGAAGCTTGTACCCATCGATGGGTAGGTAACCGTTGGCTTCAAAACTAAAGGAAAATTGGCTTACCAGCGATGGGTAGGTTCCAAACATCGATGGGAAGCCAATATTCTGCAGATCCCAAACCTTTTCAATCCCATAAATCAAGCCAATCACCCCGTTAATGCATTGGTCCGTTGGAGCCTATTTTTGCACTATAAAAAGGGGTGTTTGGGTCTGCTTTACACACCAATTCACTTCACAACATTCATACTTTCATTGCATTCAAATATCATCACTTTCCATAGCTTTCTAGAGCCATTTTTGTGTGAAGGTTGAGTTGTTCTTGAGCGCACTTAGTTTACTCAAAATCTACTCTATAAGAGAGTCTCATTCTTGAGTGTATTCGTGTTCTTAGACACTTTGAGAGAAAGTATTTCTCTCGGTAGATTCAAAGGAAGGGCTGTTTCCTTTGAAGGATTCGTTGAGGTTCGTGTGACTCGAACTCTCAAGTTGTAACGGTTTGTTAAGCACCCGCAAGCTTAACGAGATAGTAGTGTAGCTCGAGAGAGTCTCTCGGGAGGCTGGATTAACCACAAGTTGTGGTGAACTAGGGTAAAATTCGGTGTGCCTCTTACTCTTCTCTTTACTTCTCTTTTGAGTTTTTAAATCCTGCGATTTCTACGATCAAACGCTATTCAACCCCCCTCTAGCGTTGGTCTTTTATTCTAACAGCAGCTACAATCTCCTTGTCTAATCTATCTGATGTTTGTACTCTACTCTCAACTTGGTGATCGGTATCAAAAAAATATAGTTGTAAATTTCAAGGTGGAGATCCATTTGGAAGCAAGTCGTTTATGAAATGATGTATTTGTCCTTGAACCGTAAAGGTGTAAATTCCTTTATTTCTCCTGCATAAATCTTTGTCATAATTATATATACCAATTGACGTGAACGCAAACGTGTTGTTGTACGTGCGGACAATAGATTGAAACTGTTTTCCCTTGATGTCATTTGCGATATATAAGTCTTTTAGAGTAGGAAGCATCAGTGTTGTTGAAAGAACGACCTCACCTCGGCAACAGTAAAACCCCATAGGTTCAAACTTGATGCGGCTTGCCCCACAAAAAATACAGTCTAATACCCTGTTTAAAGAAAAAATTGTATCCTGATATGCAATCTTTGTTGGTGATTCTATAAGAATATGATGTATAGTGGTAGAAGGAATGGTGACATCATTATAAGTTTTGCATGAGGGTAGAGTTGGGAGAAACATGAAGAAGTTAGGAAATTTCTTCGAAGGCAAATAAAGCTATAATTAAATTAGAAACGGTAAAGGAGTTCAATGCTACACCTTGAATGGAAAAAGTGACAGAGCCGTTGGAACGTCTAGTAATATTTAAGCAATGTTTTTTTCACTGTCACGGACCCATCATGTGTTGCGCGTATGATGTTTTTATTCCTAATCCATCGTTATTGCTCATAATTTAAGCAACAAACTTGACTTCAGAGTACTAATGGGATTCGATGCATTAGTGCTTGTATTATCGATCCCATCATGCGCAATTTTAATGGGCGAAATGGTAAAATACGGGGTCGAAGACGCACCCTATTGGTCTTGGGCTTGTTTGCACCCATCGTTAACCTCTTAGCGTGGTGATCGCACTGTTTTGGGCATAACTTTTGCTAGGAGTGTCCATTTTCAGCGTGCAAGCACTTTCTAGAAAGGTCTCAACGAGACGCACAGAGACCCGATGCGTTAGAGACCATCGTGTCTCTGCTTTGACCTCAATTTCGCTCGTTTCTGGCCCTATGGCCTATTTTATGTTCAGCCCATTTATTTCTCATTCCCATGCCCGTTTTGACTTCTGTTCATTTTGGGTTTCGGCCACCCTTGTTTTGTGTGGCTTCCCGACGCACTTTGGAAGTTCACGCAACGCTTTGTGCTCGCCTGACAATTTTTAAAAGAATCAAGCACATAACTTGCAAAAAGAAAATGATCAAAAGAACAAAAAGGGGTGCAACACGAGGACTTCCCAGGGGTCACCCATCCTAGTAATACTCTTGCCCAAACGCTTGATTTTGAAGTTCTGATGGGATCCAGTGCATTAGTGCTGGTATGATCGCACCCATCATGTGTTGTGCGTATGATGTTTTTATTCCTAATCCATCGGTATTGCTCATAATTTAAGCAACAAATTTGACTTCAGAGTACTGATTGGATCCAGTGTTTTATTGCTTGTATGATCAATCCCATCATGCACAATTTTAATGGGCGAAATTTTAAAATACGGGTTCGAAGACGCACCCTATTGGTCTTGGGCTTGTTTGCACCTATCGTTAACCTCTTAGCGTGGTGATCGCGTTGTTTTGGGCAAAAATTTTGCTAGGAGTGTCCGTTTTCAGCGTGCGAGAACTTTCCGGAAAGGTCTCAATGAGACGCACAGGGGCCCGATGCGTCGGAGACCCATCGTGGCTCTGATTTGACCTCAACTTTGCTCGTTTTTTGGCCTATTGCCTATTTTATGTTTAGCCCATTTATTTCTCATTCCCAAGCCCGTTTTGACATCTGTTCGTTTTGGGTTTTGACCACCCTTGTTTTGTGTGGCTTCCCGACGCACATTGGAAGTTCAAACACTGCTTTGTGCTCGCCTGACAGTTTTTAAAAGAATCAAGCACATAACTTGCAAAAAGAAAATGATCAAAATAACAAAAAGGGGTGCAACACGAGGACTTCCCAGGGGTCACCCATCCTAGTAATACTCTTGCCCAAGCACGCTTGACTTCGGAGTTCTGATGGGATCTGGTGCATTAGTGCTGGTATGATCGCACCCATCATGTGTTGCGCGTATGATGTTTTTATTTCTAATCCAACGGTATTGCTCATAATTTAAGCAACAAATTTGACTTTAGAGTACAGATGGGATCCAGTGCATTAGTGCTTGTATGATCGATCCCATCATGCACAATTTTAATGAGCAAAATGGTAAAATTCGGGGTCGAAGACGCACCCTATTGCTCTTGGGCTTGTTTGCACCCATCGTTAACCTCTTAGCATGGTGATCGCGCTGTTTTGGGCATAACTTTTGCTAGAAGTGTCTCTTTTCAGCGTGCAAGCACTTTCCAGAAAAGTCTCAACGAGACGCACAGGGGCCCGATGCGTTGGAGACCCATCGTGGCTCTGCTTTGGCCTCAATTTTGCTCGTTTCTGGGCCTATGGCATATTTTATGTTCATCCCATTTATTTCCCATTCCCAGGCCCGTTTTGACTTCTATTCGTTTTGGGTTTCGGCCACCCTTGTTTTGTGTGGCTTCCCGACGCACTTTCGAAGTTCACGCATTTCTTTGTGCTCGCCTAACAGTTTTTAAAAGAATCAAGCACATAACTTGCAAAAAGAAAATGATCAAAAGAACAAAAAGGGGTGCAACACGAGGACTTCCCAGGGGTCACCCATCCTAGTAATACTCTTGCCCAAGCACGCTTGATTTCGGAGTTCTGATGGGATCCAGTGCATTAGTGCTGGTATGATCGCACCCATCATGTGTTGCGCGTATGATGTTTTTATTCCTAATCCATCGGTATTGCTCATAATTTAAGTAACAAACTTGACTTCAGAGTACTGATGATTGGATCCGGTGCATTAGTGCTTGTATGATCGATCCCATCATGCGCAATTTTAATGGGCAAAATGGTAAAATTCAGGGTCGAAGACGCACACTATTGGTCTTAAGCTTGTTTGCACCCATCGTTAACCTCTTAGCGTGGTGATCGCGCTGTTTTGGGCATAACTTTTTCTAGGAGTGTCCGTTTTCAGCGTGCGAGCACTTTCCGGAAAGGTCTCAACAAGACGCACAGGGGCCCGATGCGTCGGAGACCCATTGTGGCTCTGCTTTGACCTCAATTTTGCTCGTTTCTGGGCCTATGGCCTATTTTATGTTTAGCCCATTTATTTCTCATTCCCATGCCTGTTTTGACTTCTGTTCGTTTTGGGTTTCGGCCACCCTTGTTTTGTGTGGCTTCCCGACGCACTTTGGAAGTTCACGCAACGCTTTGTGCTCGCTTGACAGTTTTTAAAAGAATCAAGCACATAACTTGCAAAAAGAAAATGATCAAAAGAACAAAAAGGGGTGCAACACGAGGACTTCCCACGGGGTCACCCATCCTAGTACTACTCTCGCCCAAGCACGCTTAACTTCGTAGTTCTGATGGGATCCGGTGCATTAGTGCTGGTATGATCGTACCCATCATGTATTGCGCGTATGATATTTTTATTCTTAATCCATCGGCATTACTCATAATTTAAAAAACATACTTGACTTCAGAGTACTGATGGGATCCGGTGCATTAGTGCTTGTATGATCGATCCCATCATGCGCAATTTTAATGGGCGAAATGGTAAAATACGGGGTCGAAGACGCACCCTATTGGTATTGGGCTTGTTTGCACCCATCGTTAACCTCTTAGCGTGGTGATCGCGCTGTTTTGGGCATAACTTTTGCTAGGAGTGTCCGTTTTCACCGTGCGAGAACTTTCCGGAAAGGTCTCAACGAGACGCACAAGGGCCCGATGCGTCGGAGACCCATCGTGGCTCTGCTTTGACCTCAATTTCGCTCGTTTCTGGGCCTATGGCCTATTTTTTGTTCAGCCCATTTATTTCTCATTCCAGGCCCGTTTTGACTTTTGTTCTTTTTAGGTTTCGGCCACCCTTGTTTTGTGTGGCTTCCCGTTGCACTTTGGAAGTTCACGCAAAGCTTTGTGCTCGGCTGACAGTTTTTAAAAGAATCAAGCACATAACTTGCAAAAAGAAAATGATCAAAAGAACAAAAGGGGTGCAACACGAGGATTTCCCAGGGGGTCACCCAGCCTAGTACTACTCTCACCTAGGCACGCTTAACTTCGGAGTTCTGATGGGATCTGGTGCATTAGTGCTGGTATGACCGCACCCATCAAGTGTTGCGCGTATGATGACTTTATTCCTAATCCATCGGTATTGCTCATAATTTAAGCAACAAACTTGACTTCAGAGTACTGATGGGATCCGGTGCATTAGTGCTTGTATGATCGATCCCATCATGCGAAATTTTAATGTGCGAAATGGTAAAATACAGGGTCGGAGACGCACCCTATTGGTCTTGGGCTTGTTTGCACCCATCGTTAACCTCTTAGCGTGGTGATCACGCTGTTTTGGGCATTACTTTTGCTAGGAGTGTCCGTTTTTAGCGTGCGAGCACTTTCCGGAAAGGTCTCAACGAGACGCACAGGGGCCCGATGAGTCAGAGACCCATCGTTGTTAGAATAATAGACCAACGCTAGAGGGGGGGTGAATAGCGTTTAATCAAAGAAATCGCAGGAATTAAAAATTAAAAGATAAGTAAAGAGAAGAGTAAGAGGCACACTGAATTTTACCCTGGTTCACCATAACTTGTGGCTAATCTAGCCTCCAGAGAGAGTCTCTCGAGCTACACTACTATCTCGTTAAGTTTAACAGTGCTTAACAAACCCTTACAACTTTATAGTTCGAGTCACACGAACCTCAACGAATCCTTCAAAGGAAACACCCCTTCCTTTGAATCAAACGAGAGAAATAATTTCTCTCAACGTGTCTTAGAACACAAAAGCACTCAAGAACGAGACTCTCTTTTAGAGTAGATATTGAGTAAACTAAGTACGCTCAAGAACAACTCAACCTTCACACAAAAATGGCTCTAAAAAGCTATGGAAAAAGGTGTTGTTTGAATGCAATGAAAGTATGATAATTGTGAAGTGAATTGATGTGTAAACCAGACTTAAACACCCTTTTTTATAGTGCCAAAATAGGCTCCAACGGACAATTGCATTAAAGGGGTGATTTGCTTGATTTATGGGGTTGATTAAAATGAGAATCTGCAAGATATTGGCTTTCCATCGATGTTTAGACTCAACCATCGCTGGTAAGCCAATTTTCCTTCAGTTTTGAAGTCAATGGTCACCTACCCATCGATGGGTACTAGCTTCCCATTGCTGGGTGGGAGGTTGACTTCCAAACAAAGAAAGAATCAACCTTAAATGACTTCCAACGGTCATGCCTTCCCATCGATGGTTTACCCTTACCATCGCTGGGTTCCCATCGATGGTCTACCTTGTGTTGATGTTGGACCTAGGCTTTAACAGCGATTGGTAGAACTTCCTATCGCTGTTTGGCATGGTTCTGGAACTTGGTTAGGCTGAAGGACCGCCTACCCATCGATGGGAAGTTCTTTCCATCGCTGGGTGGGTGGTTAGCCAAAAACCCATGGTTTTTGCCTTAACCACGGCCTAGGCAACCGATGCAATAACCGGCCGAAAAAGTCCAAAGTTCTCCAAAATAAAAACTAAGTGTTTAAAACACTTATTTGATGTGTTTTGCTAATAAATCAAGTGAGGCACTTTAAAAACCACGTCATTTGAGTAAAAACCACGGCTAGCCAAGTTTATACCGTTTAGCATGGTTTTTGCCAAACGACCAAAAGTGAAAGGTGGTTTTCAAAGTGTTTTTGTTGGAGAACTGTTTAAACATGCCAAAGAGTGAAGACCAATCATAAAATGTTGAAAACCACTTGGTTGGTTCGGACGCCAAAAACCAATGCCGATAACCGAAAGCCGAACGCTGGTTTCTGAAAGCCGAACGCTGAATGGCTTGGTTTTTGGTTTGGGCGAACACAAAGTGTTTTTAATGACTTGAACAAGTTTGAAAAACATTTTTATGATGTAAGAAATGCAATGAAATATTTTAACCTAAAGAGCCAGTGCGTGAGGGTTGGGTCGGTCTTGATCACAATTATGATCGACTCAACAATACTAAAGACTGCGGTCTTCGTTCTTGGTCTCTTTTAGCTCTTGTTCTTTATCTTCGTTCTTAGCCTTGTATATTCAATGTTTATCTAGATCACGGCGGTTTGGCATTATCAAAACCTGTTACAAAAACGAACACGGCTTTAGTACAAAAACGTGACAAGCCCGTGTTTCAACAATTTCCCCCTTTTTGATAATGGCAAACGAGACGAGGTTTTGCATAGGAGGATAATTTTGAGACTTTTTTAAAAAAACCTTCCCCCTTAAAAGATGACATTTTATTAAAAAATTCCCCCTCAATTTATGCATAACCTAGATATCTTTCCCCTTTTGACATTAACAAAAAGAATTAAAAGTAAACTTTAGAATTTAAAAGTGAACTTTTATTCATTAAAAAAAGGGAAATGTGGAATACAACGGAATGGAAATAAAAAATACAATCATAGTAAGGAAAGGATAGAAAGGGAGAGTCTTGGCATCGGCGTCCTCGTCCTCGTCGTCATCGTCATCCTCGTCGTCCTCGACGTCCATGGGATCGCCGTCGACCGGGTCCTCAAAGTCGGCCTCGTCGGGGGAGGAGGATGGAGCATAGGAGTCGTCGTCCTCGTCCTCGCCTTCATAGTTTTGGCTGGGGAAGGTGCTGTCAAAGGGTGGCGGGATGTAGTTGATGCCGCGGAAGAACGCCCTCATGTCGTGGTGTTGGCGTTGCAGCGTCTAGTCCATCCTTTCCATGTACTGCCTCATGCCATCCACTGTGAGGGTTAGCCGGTTCAGGGTGTCGGCTATAGACTGCAGCGAGCCCCGAGCGGGAGCGGGGGCCGGGGCAGAGGCATGGGCACGACTTGGTCCGGCGCCATCTCGAGTTCGGGACTTCTTCTTGAAGGTATTTTCTGCAATGATCCAAAGCTTTGTCATCTTTGTGCTTGGCCCGACGATGTGGATGTCGGCGGAGACGATGAGGTCCATGACGAGGAAAGCGTATGGCAAGCTCCGCTCGTGGAGAGTGGAGGCGCAATCCGTCATGTGAATCATGACGTATTTCGCCCAATTGATGGAGGCGTCGTGCATGATCGCATGAATTGCCCTCAAGTCGTCATTGAAGAGCGAGGTGAGGCTGCCATCCCGGGGGCGGAGGATCCGGGTGAGGATGTAGAGGAGGAGGCGCTTCTCCGGTGGAGCCGAGTGGATTTTCGGTGCGCCGCTGTGACGGATCAAGTTGGTGATCCCGAGCTCACGGATGACGATGGCCTCATTGTTGAGGATCCAATCGTCGCCACCATACGACGCGATGTCGTCACCGCGGGTGGGCAGCTCTGCGACCCGAGCAAAGGTAGCCAAATCAATCTCCAAGTCGTAGAGATTGATGCTACTGCGGATGGTGTCCCCGTCCCGGCGGAGATTTGAGTAGAAGGCCCGGACATAGGCGGGATTGAAGGAGGTGCGGCTCTTGGAGAAGAAGGGCCACAGACCTGACTCTTTGAGTTGATTTTCGAGGTTGTGGTACCCTTTTTGCTGAGGGAACAACTCGGGCAGAACCCGGGGCGGACAGATACGGCGTTTGGCAAAGTGCGTGAGGAAGTGCGTGAGTTCTTCCTCTGATCCGAACTCCAAGAAAGATCCGTCCAAATATGGGAACGGAGGAGGCGCGGAGCTGGAGGGTTCGGCAGTGGCCTTCTTCTTGGAAGCCTTCGTCTTCTTTCCTCTGGCCATAGATGAGAAGTATTTGTGAAAAATAGTGAAGAATAGGTTCAAAGAATGCAACTGGGATGTGAATTATGAGTAACAAGGAGACCAAATATGATTGATATATAAAGGAGAAGGAGTTAGAGCCGTTGGAATTTTAAAAAACATAGCTATTGGACATTTAATGAGGTGCCTAATGGTTGGAATTTTTGAAATGTAACTGCCTTCCCAGCGATGGTAAATCTTACCCATCGATGGGAAGGTCGCCTCTGGAATGCGATGAAGAACCCAAGGCTGCCTTCCCAGCGATGTTTGAATTAACCCATCGATGGGAAGGTGGTTACTGGAAAGTGAAGAATAGATGACAAAAGCCTTCCCAGCGATGTTATTACCATCCCATCGCTGGGTTGGTGGTTTTGAGAAATCCGTTAAAAATTTTAAAAAAAAAGAGTGTCAAACACCTAGCGATGGGAGAGAGTTCCCATGATGGGTAAGGAGGTTCTGGAAAAAAACTTTAAACAAAAGTCATTCACCCAGCGATGGGATAAAATACCCATCGATGGGTAAAGGTGTTCTGGAAGTCCGTTAAGCATTTTAAAAAAAATAGAGTCAATCACCCATCGATGGGAAGAAGTCCCCATCGATGGGAAGAGGAGTTCTGAAAAAGATGAACTTCCCTCCCAGCGATAGTATAGTCCTCCCATCGCTGGTTCCCCTTGATTTCCAGAAGTATTCACTTCGAACCGTCCCTGTTAAAAAGAGTTAGAAAACCCTCCAACGCTCAAGTTAGTAAACGTTCAAACAAAGATAAAAGAGTGATAAAATGCACAAATTAGATCATCGTGGAGTCAAGGATTCCGAGTTCGCTACGAATGCGGAAGAACGACTCTTTCTCTAAAGGTTTTGTGAAAATGTCGGCTAATTGGTTGTGTGTTTCAACAAACTCAATTTTGACATCACCTTTGAGAACATGATCTCTAATGAAATGGTGCCTAATGTCAATGTGTTTCGTGCTCCTTGCAATATTTGGTTTGGCAAATGAACGTGCCATCTTTCATTTGCTTGACTTGGAGTCCCAAAAAGAACGTGAGCTCACCCATCATTGACATTTCAAATTCGCTTGTCATTAGCGTTGAGAATTCCTTGCACAAAGACTCGTTAGTAGCACCGAATATAATATCGTCTGCATAAACTTAAATCAAAAGGATATTATTGTTTTTACTCTTGACAAAAAGTGTGGTGTCAACCTTTCCCCTTTGGAAACCACTATCCAAAAGAAATTTACTCAAACGTTCGTACCAAGCACGGGGTGCTTGTTTAATACCGTAGAGCGCTTTCTTGAGTTTGAAGACATGATCGGGAAACTCAAAGTCTTCAAACCCCGGGGGCTGGTCAAAATACACTTCCTCTTGAATAAAACCATTGAGGAAGGCACTCTTAACATCCATTTGATAAAGTTTAAAATCCATAGATGAAGCAAAAGCAAGAAGTAAACAAATAGCTTCTAAACGTGCTACGAGTGCATAAGTTTATTCAAAATCAATGCCTTCTTCTTGATTGTAGCCTTTAGCTATGAGCCTAGCTTTGTTTCTAGTGATTATTCCATTTTCATCAAGTTTGTTACGGAACACCCATTTCGTACCAATAACCGTACGATCATTGGGTCTTGGCACCAATTCCCAAACGTCATTCCGTTTGAATTGGTTTAGCTCCTCTTGCATAGCCAAGGTCCAATGTTCATTGTTTATTGCTTCGGAAATGGTTGTAGGTTCAATTTAAGTGAGTTCCGAGTACTTACCCCGTGGTTGATGCTACCGATTACCTGGTCAAGCGGATGGTTCTTGTTCGTTCTCCATGCAATGGGAAGCTCGGTTGCTTCTTCTTCGTGTTCCTCTTGTTCTTCTTCTTCCTCTTGATTTTCATCTTCACCTTGGTTAGTCGCTTGAGGTATCTCCCCAATGTGCGGCTGCGTGTTGGTGTATATTCCCGCGTTCTCTTCATCGTCTTCGATGTGTATCCTCGCCAAGCGAGGGTTATCTTCGGAGAATAGAACGTGAGGGGACTTCACAATAGTCATGGTTCGTTTATTAAAGACTCTATAGGCCTTGCTATGAAGTGAATAACCCAGAAAAATTCCTTCATCCGACTTGGCATCAAATTTGCTTAAGTTGTCTTTGCCATTGTTATGAATAAAACATTTGCAGCCGAAGACTCGAAGATGGGAAAGGTTTGGCTTTCTCCCTTTGTATAGTTCATTAGGCGTTTTCATGAGTATCGGTTGGCTCGGTTTAACAGGTAGCTCGCGGTACACGGCATCCGCCCAAAAATACTTAGGAATTTTTGCCTCATTGATCATAGTTCTAGCCATCTCTTCGAGACATCTATTTTTAGGTTCCACCACTCCATTTTGTTGTGGTGTACGTGGGGCTGAGAAATTATGATCAATGCTGAGTTCGTCACATAAATCTGAGAATAGATTTCGTTCGAACTCTCCCCCATGATCGCTTTTTATGGCTACTATGGTTGTTTATTTTTCATTTTGAACTTTCTTTAGAAAATTTTTGAAAACGTGAAATGCCTCACTTTTGTGAGTTAGAAACAAGGTCCATGTAAACCTAGAGTAGTCATTGACAATCACAAACGCAAAGTAATTACCACCAAAACTTTTCATTCTAGAAGGACCAAAGAGATCCATGTGCAAAAGTTGAAGCAGTCTAGGCGTTGAAACAACGTTCTTAGACTTGAATGAAGCCCGAACTTACTTCCCCTTTTGACATGCATCACATATGGCATCTTTTTCAAATTTAAGTTTTGGAATGCCAATTACTAAGTCTTGTGAAACCAATTTGTTCAAAAGGTTCATGTTCATATGAGCTACCCTTCGGTGCCATAACCAAGTGTCTTCCTCTTTACTCATGAGGCACTTAGCAAAGCCGGAAGGATATTTGTCTAAGTTAACTATATATATGTTATCGATTCTATCTCCACGTAGAATGACCTTATTGTCACTAAGGCGTTCTGTTAGAATAATAGACCAACGCTAGAGGGGGGTGAATAACGTTTGATCAAGAAATCGTAGGAATTAAAAATAAGTAAAAGAGAACTAAAAGAAGAGTAAGAGGCACACCAAATTTTACCCTGGTTCACCACAACTTGTGGCTAATCCAGCCTCCCGAGAGACTCTCTCGAGCTACACTACTATCTCGTTAAGCTTAACGGTGCTTAACAAACCCGTACAACTTGAGAGTTCGAGTCACACGAACCTCAACGAACCTTCGAAGAAACAACCCTTCCTTCGAACAACAAGAGAAATATTTTCTCTTGTCAAGTGTCTAAGAACACTAAAAACACTCAAGAACAATACTCTCTTTTAGAGTGGATGATGAGTAACTAAGAACGCTCAAGAACACAACACAAACTTCACAAGAATGGCTCTCAAAAAGCTATGAATAAAGGATGAATGATTTGTAATGAAAGAGTAGGAGTTGTGAAGTAATGTGATATGTAAAACAGACCCAAACACCCCATTTTATAGTGGAAAAATAGGCTCCAACGGACCAAAACATTTAAGGGGTGATTGACACAATTTGTGGGATTTGATTAAATTGGGATCTGCTGAAAATCACCCCGACAGCACTGTCCTAGGCTTGGACATCGCTGTTCTAGGCTTGGGTTTTAAAAATGGGAAGCACGGTCATGCCAACAGCGATGTCCAAAAACCCCTACATCGCTGTTTTGGCTGTTGACTTCTAAACAAGGAAAGTTCTAGCCTTAAATTCCTTCTAATGGTCAGGTCCCTACATCGATGTTCAATACTTGAACATCGCTGTTTAGGTCTGACTTTGAAGGTGAGAGTTTGGCCAGACAGCGCTGTTGCTGGGTCAACATCGCTGTCCAAAAACTTTCTGCCAATGCAATTTATTTTTGGCTTAGGTTGGACAGCGATGTAGGGAAGGCTGTATCGCTGTTCGAGATGTTTCTAGAAACCCAACCTTGGCTCAACAGCGATGTCTAATATCTAACATCGCTGTTGGAAGACATAATGCCAAACCATGGTTTTTAGCTACCCAAGCCAGACAGGGCTGTTGGTTTCACCAATATCGCTGTTGGGCTGGTTTTAGCCAGACCCATGGTTGGTTTAGTCAGCCGTTAGCCGATGTCGAAAACGTAAGTTCTCTAAAAACAAAAAAAGGTATTGAAAATGTTTTCTTAAAGCATTTTTCTAAGAAATCAAGTAAAACATTTTAAAAACCACGTCATTTAATTTGAAAACCATGGCTAGCCAAGCTTAAGCCGTTTCGCATGGTTTTCACTAAATGACCGAAAGGTGGTTTTTGAGGCGTTTTTGTTGGAGAACTATTTAAGTATGCCCAGAAGTAAAAAACAATCATAAAAAGTTGAAAACCACTTGGTTGGTTCGGACGCCAAAAACCAATGCCGAAAATCGAACGCTGGTTTCTGAAAGCCGAACGCTGGATGGCTTGGTTTTTGATTAGGGCGAACTCCAAGTGTTTTTAGGCATGTTTAAAACTTAAGAAAAACATTTTTGAATATGTAAAAAATATTTTGATGAAAGAAGCCTAGAGAGCCAAGATTTGAAAGTTTGTGCTGGTCTTGATCACATTAAGACCGACTCAATACAATTCTAATTCTTCGTTCTTGATTCTTGGTTCTCGGTTCTCAATTCATCAAGCCATGTTCCTTTGCCTTGGTTTTGCTCACTTTAGCCTTGTTATGTCATGGCGGTTTGGCATTATCAAAACCTGTCATAAAACGAACACAATTTAGTACGACGTAGGCGTAAACCTGTGTTCCAACAATTTCCCCCTTTTTGATAATGGCAAACAAGACGGGGATATGCATACTAAGGGATATTTGTTTTTTTAAAAAGTTGTGAGAAAGTTCACCCTTAATTTGTGTTTAAAAAAAATATTCGGATTAAAATCAAACGGTCTCGTTTTTAGAGGCGTTCCCCCTTAGTATATGCATAGCCATTTTCTTCCCCCTTTTGACATTAACAAAAAGATAAAAGATAATTTTATTTATTAAAGGGAAAATAGAGGAGTACAATGGAAGCATTAAAAAAAAGGATAAATAAAGGAAAAGAGATAGAAATTCTAGGGGTGTCCTAGACTTCGTCTTCAGTTTCCTCCTCGTCGTCGTCGTCGTCCATCTCATCACCATCAATGACATCGTCAAACATATCCTCGTCCGGGGAGCTTGACTAGGAGTAGAAGCCATCCTCTTCATCCTCATCACCGTACACTTCCCCGAGGAATGGGCCGTGGAATGGTGGAGGGACGTAGTTGATGCCTTGGAAGTACGCGTTCATGGCGTGCCCTTGGCGTTGAATAGCCACGTCGAGCCGTTCAAGGTAGCCCTCCATCCCATCAACTTTGAAGTGGAGTCGGTTGAGGGAGTCGGCGATGGAGGCAAGGTTGGCCCGGGCCTGCGGTTCGGCTGGGCTAGCGGCAGGGGCAGTGCGGCGTGGCGCGGCAGTGGCAGTCGCGGCGTTGTCCGACCGCTTGGTGAAGGTTTGGGCGGAAACGTTCTTCACGAGGGAGGGTGAATAGAGGTGTTTCCCAAAAGACCAGTTTTTTGCGCGGAAACGTTCTTCACAAGTATTCAATAAAAACAATGCACCACAAACAAAATAAAGTGAAGGATAAGAGCAATGCACACACGATATATACTGGTTCGGCCTAAATGCCTACATCCAGTCCCCGAAGCAATCGTGCCCAGGCCTTCACTAACCCGTCAAACTTAACGGAGTTTGACAACTGAAAACAACTCGAGAACTTTATTTCACAAGCCTCTTATCTTACCACCGAAGTTTTGAATTCACAAAACTCAGGATTTCTTCCACCTAACAATTGATTTCACAAACCGTTAGGATTTTTACCACTTGATGTAATCCCAACACCAAGAATACAAATCCATTACAATAAAGTAAGAAAACAAACTGCAACCGAGTAATTCTCCCAACACGGAGTAGATTGTTGCAAATACAATGAAGTCCTTTAGAATATGGCAATATCTCTCAAAGACTCAAGCAATGAGGAAAAACTCAAGCAATGCAAGAAATGATTTAGCAATCAAAACAATTGCCTTGCTTGGATATAAGGAGGGGATTGAGTAGAATCTCTTGGGATATTCAAAGGATATGTTTTGAAGTGTTTTCAATGTATATTCTTGGCCAAAAACACGAGATAGGGTAGTTTATAGAAGTTAGGGAGTGGATAGGGATGAAAAGCATTCAAAAAACTAGTCGTTTGGTAGTTGAAACTGTCGAACTATTCGACTAAATCAAGACCTAGTCGACTAGTTTTGGTGAAACTGCAATTTGACTTATTCAACTAGTTCTGGATTTATTCAACTAAGTCAGAATAGAATTTCAGGGATTTATTCGAACAGTTTTCAATTTATTCGAATAGTTTGCTGAAAAAATGTGTTTTAAAGGTAGGATGATAAGGGAATGAACCTTAGAGATGCCATACTCTTTAACACAAAATCTAAGACATAAAACACTACCCAACTAAGGAAACAACCTTTTCGGTCTCGTTCCTTCCACCGATGCTCAAGTCCCTTCTTCACAGACGGATATGAACTTGTTGTAGCTTTGATTCTTAGCATTGGTGCACAATATGATGATGATGTTTTGTCACCCGTTTGTCATTATCAAAACCTAAAAGACAATGGGCAAAGAACATTGCAAAAATATATATTCATGATAACACATTGTCCAACAATTTCCCCCTTTTTGATAATGACAAACCCATTAGTCCCCCCCTCAAGTATAGCATCATAAATCAAACAAAGACATACAAATCTATACTATCTTCCCCATTTAGATATGCACAAATATAATTCCCCCTTAATATATGCATATCTACACCATCTTCCCCCTTTTGACATTATCAAAAAGGGATGGGCAAAAAGATATATGCTCATGCAAATAGATATCAAACAAACAAATAATATCACATTGTCCAACTAAAATATAAATCAACATTAGTTGGAATTAATAAAGTGAATCAACTTCCCCCTTAATTGATGCTTCACCCAATTATGTGCTTGGTGCATCTACTTCAACTCAAGTCGAAGTGTTCAAGCACACCTTCCTTAATGAATCTACGAAGCAAATCTTAGTACCCAATGCCTTTTGAGTCCAGGGGTGTTATTGCAATAATAAGAATCATATGAACCATGCATCACATTATCTTGACTTAGATGCAAGTGCCTATACTTAGTGTAACAAACAGGTGTGATGTGTCCCACTTTATTACAATAATGACACCTAACACTAGGGTTGTTCATGTTTCTAGGACGTGTGATGTGCTTTATAGGTTGTCTATCAAACTTATAATTCCTAGAATGACTTAGTTTATTTCTAGGTGATCTATAGTATTTAATCCAAGAGGTAGATTTTAGTCTAAATTCATTTTCAACTTTCTTCATTGTTAATTTCAAATCGTCTACCTCTTTCTTAAGCGCTTCTATCTCAAGACTAGAAGACTTACATGAAGAACAAGGTGAATCATTTAATTTCAAATTAGTCTCCTCAAAAGTCTTATTTTCAATTTTGAGGGAATCAATTTCTTTTTGCAAAATATTATTTTTCTTTTGCAAAAGGGTGATTTTATATTCCAAATCTTTGGCAATAGATGAGACTTTCTTAAATTCTTTAAATAAATCNAGGATCGTTAGAAGAACTTACCTCTTCGGATTCACTTTGAGCCATAAGACAAATGGCTACTTCATCATCGGATGAGGAAGATGAGCTAGAGTTGGATTGCTTTTGGCGTTTGGACTTCTTGAATTTTCAATTAGGGCAATGACCCTTGTTATGTCCACGCTCTCCACATCCATAGCAAGTAGGCTTTGTACTCTCATTCAATTGCTCAAGCTCATTTTTCAAGAAGTCATTAAATAACTCGAGAATGTCACTTTCTCTAGAGCCGCTTGTCTTGACATATTTTGACGATGAAGCTTTGAGTGCAACTCCTTTGAATGATAGATTTTGATCCCTTTTGATCTCCGCTGCACTAGAAAAGTTAGACATTTCATAAGTGAGTAGTTTACCTCGAAGTGCGTCATATGTCAATGTATTGTAATCTCGGCCTTCTTTGATAGGATTGACCATAGACTTCCATTCCGGTGTGAGACTTCGAAGGATTTTTCGAACGAGAACATGATCCTCATACTGCTTCCCAAGTGTATCCAAAGTTGAGACGATAGTTGAAAATCTCTTGAACATGCCATCTATTGTTTCATTTTCCATCATCATGAAAAGCTCATACTCATGGGTGAGTAAGTCAATCTTTGAGTCCTTCACTTGACTTGTTCCTTCATATGTGACCTCTAATTTGTTCCACATCTCATTGGCCGTCTTGCACCTTGTGATTTTCCAAGTCATCCGGGTTCACGGCACAATATAGAAAGTTGATGGCCCTTGCATTTAGTTGCATCTTCTTCTTGTCATTTGAGGTATATTCGGTCTCTAACTTTGGAACAAGAACCCCGTCAACAATTTTCATGGGAACCGTCTCTCCATGCTTGATAACCATCCAAGAATCATAATCATTTGATTGGATGAATATTCTCATCCTTCTTTCCAATAAGCATAATTTGTGCCATCGAAGAGTGGTGGCCTTGTCGTGGATTGTCCGTTGGATACTCCGGGTTGAAATGTTCTTCCGGCCATGATCTTTTTAAATTTTCAGCGGTAAAGCTTTGAAAATCCCTCGTTTTGATACCACCTGTTAGACGCCTTGCACACCTCTAGAGGGGGGGGGGTGAATAGAGGTGTTTCCCAAAAGACTAGTTTTTTGCGCGGAAACGTTCTTCACGAATATTCAATAAAAACAATGCACCACAAACAAAATAAAGTGAAGGATAAGTGCAATGAACACACGATATATACTGGTTCGGCCTAAATGCCTACATCCAGTCCCCGAAGCAATCGTGCCCAGGCCTTCACTAACCCGTCAAACTTAACGGAGTTTGACAAACCGAAAACAACTCGAGAACTTGATCTCACAAGCCTCTTATCTTACCGCCGAAGTTTTGATTTCACAAAACTCAAGATTTCTTCCACCTAACGTTTGATTTCACAAACCGTTAGGATTTTTACCACTTGATGTAATCCCAACACCAAGAATTTAAATCCATTAGAATAAAGTAAGAAAACAAACCGCAACCGAGTAACTCTCCCAACACGGAGTAGATTGTTGCAAATACAATGAAGTCCTTTAGAATATGGCAATATCTCTCAAAGACTCAAACAATGAGGAAAAACTCAAGCAATGCAAGAAATGATTTAGCAATCAAAACAATTGCCTTGCTTGGATATAAGGAGGGGATTGAGTAGAATCTCTTGGGATATTCAAAGGATATGTTTTGAAGTGTTTTCAATGTATATTCTTGGCCAAAAACACGAGATAGGGTAGTTTATAGAAGTTAGGGAGTGGATAGGGATGAAAAGCATTCAAAAAACTAGCGGTTTGGTAGTTGAAACTGTCGAACTATTCGACTAAATCAAGACTTAGTCGACTAGTTTTGGTGAAACTGCAATTTTACTTATTCAACTAGTTCTGGATTTATTTAACTAAGTCAGAATAGAATTTCAGGGATTTATTGGAACAGTTTTCAATTTATTCGAATAGTTTGCTGAAAAAAATGTGTTTTAAAGGTAGGATGATAAGGGAATGAACCTTAGAGATGCCATACTCTTTAACACAAAATCTAAGACATAAAACACTACCCAACTAAGGAAACAACCTCTTCGGTCTCGTTCCTTCCACCGATGCTCAAGTCCCTTCTTCACAAACGGATATGAACTTGTTGTAGCTTTGATTCTTAGCATTGATGCACAATATGATTATGATGTTTTGTCACCCGTTTGTCATTATCAAAACCTAAAAGACAATGGGCAAAGAACATTGCAAAAATATATATTCATGATAGCACATTGTCCAACACGGGAAGCGCTCCGGGACGATCCGTGGGGGAGCCACAACCCGTTTAGAGAAAAACGTGAGGAAACGGGTGCGCTCCTCCTCGGAATCGAACCAGAGGTACGACCCATCGCTGTAGTAGAGGCATTCCTCGGAGGACGTCGCTGGTGCCCGGGATTTAGACATAGATTTCCCGGAGGTACCTGCTCTTTGCTTGTCTTTGCCCATTGTGATGATGAAATCTCAAGAGAGAATTGTAGAGAGGATATATTATGCATGGAGATATAAGAAGATTGTGTTTAGATGTATAAAAGTGAAGAGAGGGGGTCCCAATTTATAGAAAAGGAGATTTCCAACATCCAGATTTTCAAAAATATGGCTGTTGGAGCAATTAATGCTGGTGCCATCAGGTATTTTTTTTGAAAAATTCATTTTGATCAGCGATGTCCCAAATGCAACATCGCTGTCGAGACAGCGCTGTTAAGCCTCCAGACAGTGTTGTTTTGCGACTAGTTTTAAAAACAAGTGTCAAATGGACAGCGATGTTGGGTATCCTACAGCGATGTTCCCAAAGTTTCTGGAAATATGTAAGGGGTTGAACCCATTAGGACAGCGCTATTGGGTTTCTCTACATCGCTGTTTTACGTTAAAAAAATTTGTAAAAATGGATAGCGATGTTGAAGAAGGTAGACATCGCTGTTTGAAAAGTTTCTGGTTTTGTTTGAAAACAAGGTGTTTTGGGTAGACAGCGATGTTTAGAGAGGAGACATCGATGTTCAAAAAGTTTTTGGAAAGTAAAGGTAAAGAGAACTCCCTGTGACAGCGCTGTTGGTGTGATGTACAGCGCTGTTGGCTCAAGCTGGTTGACGGTGTTTCTCTCAACAACGCTGTTGGGCCTCCTGGACAGTGCTGTTTGCATGGTTCCCCCTGACTTCATGAACGGGGTACCTGCAAAAAAGAAAAGGTTCTCCGACACTCAAGTTAGTAAACGTTTAACAAGTTTAGATGCACAACTTAGATCATCATGGAGTCAAGGATTTCGAGTTCACTTTGAATGCGGAAGAACGACTCTTTCTCTAAAGGTTTTGTGAAAATGTAGGCTAATTGGTTATGTGTTTCAACAAACTCAATTTCGACATCACCTTTGAGAACATGATCTCTAATGAAATGATGCCTAATGTCAATGTGTATCGTCCTTGAATGAAGAACGGGGTTCTTCGTCAAGCTTATGGCGCTAGTATTATCACAACGAAGAGGGACGTGATTGATACTAAGGCCATAGTCCACGAGTTGTTGCTTCATCTAGAGGATTTGAGCACAAGAACTACCGGCGGCTACATATTCCGCTTCGGTTGTGGATAACGCAACACTTACTTGTTTCTTACTAAACCATGAGACTAGAGAGCTACCAAGTAAGTGGCAAGTCCCACTCGTACTTTTACGGTCCAATTAGCAACCAGCAAAGTCCGAGTCGGAATAGCCAACGAGATGACAATAAGAGCCTTTTGGATACCACAGTCCAACGTTAACCGTACCGACAAGGTATTTCATGATCCGTTTCACCGTGGTTAAGTGCGATTCCTTCGGACATGATTGATACCTTGCGCAAAGGCATACGCTAAACATGATATCCGGCCTGCTAGCGGTAAGATAGAGAAAGGATCCGATCATACCTCGATACGTTTTGACTTCTACTTCCTTACCTTTCTCGTCTTTGTCAAGATGGTCAGACGTGCTCATCGGGGTCGCCATGGCTTTGGCGTTGTCCATTTCAAACCGTTTTAGGTGCTCCTTGCAATATTTAGCTTGGCAAATGAACGTGCCATCTTTCATTTGCTTGACTTGGAGTCCCAAAAAGAACGTGAGCTCACCCATCATTGACATTTCAAATTCGCTTGTCATTAGCGTTGAGAATTCCTTGCACAAAGACTCGTTAGTAGCACTGAATATAATATCGTCTACATAAACTTGAACCAAAAGGATGTTATTGTTTTTACTCTTTATAAAAAGTGTGGTGTCAACCTTTGTAATGCCCCAAAATATACCCTAAAATTTATTAAATCAAATATTCAATTAAACAAAATTTGTTTTGATTAAAATAAATTATTGTTGGTCTTTGGGCCGAAATAAAATATATATTGATGTCAAATAAACATAATTTGGTTAAATCTCATAGAGATAAATCCAACCTGTTGACTTATTGTGTGATCTTGATTGGGAACCTGAGTACAGACCCAAATTAAGAATAAATGAAGAAATTGTTTGTGATGTGAACTTTGAAATGATTTATTGAAATAAATCATGAAAATAAATAATATGAATTAAATGTGAGAACCTTTTTGAATAATGGTCAATTAAACTAATTTTGACTCTCTCAAAGTCAAACACCAAAAATATGATGTCGGAAAAAGTATAACAAATAAATGTAAAAATTATATCGTTGGATAGAGTTTAATTGCATTATCGCAATGGTGCAAACGGATTTCAATTCGGAGAAAGTTGGACCAAAAAGTATACCCCGACTGGGACCAAAATTAGTCCCAATCAGGGACTACATACCAAACGGCGCCCTGTTCAATTACGCCGATTCCAAAATACGAATCACCGCTCAATCATGGAAGCTGCAAACCTGTGTCTTCTTCTTCACTGGCCTATTTAAGGAGAGCCAATTCTCCCATTTCTCCACCCAAAATCTATAATTCTTCATCCTATTCTGTTGTTCTGAGAGAGGAGAATACACTGGTGCTGTCAGCTCTATGAGAAGTCGCCGGAGCAGTGAGATAGAGTCGCTGGAAATTTCGCCGGAAAATCTTCAAAACCTCCCTTAGGCTTCGAGGTAAGCCCGTTGATATATCTAATGACTAGAATGTTCGTATAGATTGTTTCTACGTTCATAAACGGTCGTTTGGTTGAGTTTTGTGTTTGACATGCTTGAAGAACCAAGAATCATAAACCATGAAATTGATGTTAAAACTATGAATTAATGATGCCAAAATGATCTATGAACCTTAGATAGCATCTCTGTATAGTTTCGTTGAAGTTCGATGACTAAAAACGGGATTTCCAAAAAATGGGCCCAAGGTTGAAGAAGATGAACAGTAAGCTGAAAAACACTGCCTGGATCGATCCTAAGGCTTGGATCGATCCTCTGGGAGTATTTTTCCATAGTATAGATCGATCTAGAGGGCTGGATCGATCCCCCGAAAATCTGATCCGAAACTTAGTCTGAAAATGCTATTTTTGAGCTCTAAAATCCTATTTTTGATACCAATTGATTATGATCATTATAAAAATGATTTACCAGAATGAAAATGATGTTTTTGACAAATAAAATGTTATGTGATGCATGACGGTAAGTTCGGGTGTTAACACTCGAAGCTAAGCCGCTATTTGTTATCGAATGTTATGTTGATTGATGAGTATGATGAATGATTATTATGATGATTATGGCTTGATGAAACCACTGATTAAAATGATTATCAAGGATTAAATTATGTATTGAAATGAATATGTTGATGATTATGGAATGATTTGGATTGTAAGGATATCTAAAAGAACTCTAAGATATACCTAGGTTGACTTTGGTTTCTAAGACTAACTAGAAGACCTCTAAGATAGCTTAGAAATAGGCCTTGCGGGTATAATCATGAGTATTCGGTGGCCTAGGTTAAAACATACGTACGGGATATACAAATTAAACTTGAGGCACTCGTTTGGGGATACCACCCAACCCGACAGTGAGCATTTCGGATCCGCTGTTCGGTTTTTTGGATGACCTTAATCGAAGGTAAGTTTAAGATTTTGAAAACCTCTTTTGAAAATTTATATCTTAAACTAGGCCTAGCTTAAGGGTTAGATAAGAGTACCTTAAACTTGAATATAGTTTAACTATCTTAAACTAGAATTCGTTTAAGAGTTGGAAAATATCAAATAGATTGTCCTTAGACTAAGAATAGTTTAAGGATATTGTTGAATGACGAATGATGAATATTATATGATGAATATACATATTGAATGATTGANTTAAAACGTACGTACGGGATCTACAAACCAAACTTGAGGCACTCGTTTGGGGATACCACCCAACCCGACAGTGAGCATTTCGGATCCGCTGTTCGGTTTTTGGATGACCTTAATCGAAGGTAAGTTTAAGATTTTGAAAACCTCTTTTGAAAATTTATATCTTAAACTAGGCCTAGCTTAAGGGTTAGATAAGAGTACCTTAAACTTGAATATAGTTTAACTATCTTAAACTAGAATTCGTTTAAGAGTTGGAAAATATCAAATAGATTGTCCTTAGACTAAGAATAGTTTAAGGATATTGTTGAATGACGAATGATGAATATTATATGATGAATATACATATTGAATGATTGATTAATGAATTGATTGTTTATGATTGAATATCTGAACTGGACATTATGTGCATGATATCAAATGATTTGATTATGAATTAAGTTTCTGTTTATATGGATGTTCGACGCGTTAGATATGCTTACTCAGCTTTACCGCTGAGCGTGTAGTATGTTTTATTTGCTACACGCAGGTTAATAGAAAGAATGATGTGACGTGATTCTGGAGGCAGACGGAGGCGAGATTGTCGGAATGGATGTGATGGTTTTGAATTAAAGAACATAAATAAATTATGTTTGTAGTTATAATTTGTTAAGCTTCCGCAATATTAAAAACTCTGTACTGTTTATGATATGAAAATATTATTGTGATAAATAAAAGTGTTTGAAATGTTTTAAATTTTACGATTACCAAGTTAATACTTTAGTCCGAAAGGGGCTGCAGACCTGGACGGATTAGGGTGTTACAATTTGGTATCAGAGCAAATGGTTTTAAAACCAATCTTCGGATCAAAATTTGAATTTTTTTTTGAGTCAATCACTTCCACGACTCTCGCGTCCCTCTGCTCCAGGAAAGGTATGAGAAATTACTTGGTAAATATTTACTCTGTTAGAATTCTCATTGAATAACAATTGATTAGTACTGAAATCGTATCGAGCTTAGACTCTAGTAGAACTTTCGTACTCAATCAAGAGACGCTGAAAAATACATGACCCTCTGATCCGTTATTAACGTACGCATCGCATCGCGACAGATGAAACTGATCTGCATTGCAAAATCGTACGAAAGTGAGACGACTATGAAGAAATAATAATTGTTGGGAAGCATTTGTGAAGCCGATGTCAAAGACACTCATGTGGACTCGAGACGATCTAATTGCTGATTCAAACACGAACGTTTAGAATCAATAAACTCTGTTATCTAAAGCATCACATTCTGATGTCTAACTCATTAAGATGCAAATATGCAATTATATCTTAGGAATCGAAATCATTCGTTAAGCGAAAACTCCTTGCAAAACTTCGTTGAAATACCATACAAGGAATTTAACAATTATCATTATTATACATTGGCTGATCGAACGACGTTGGTGTTGACAACTCTTGACAAAGAATTCTTCAACTAAAGATCGATGATGGAAACCTTATATAGGTGAAAGCAAAGCTAATTTCTAAACTAACCGAGTTCATCTCTGTTGAAACACGGGCTTGTCACGTTTTCGTACTAAAGCCGTGTTCGTTTTTGTAACAGGTTTTGATAATGCCAAACCGCCGTGATCAAGTCAAACAATGAATATACAAGGCGAAGAATGGAAAGTTAAACGAGAGCCGAAAGAGACCAAGAACGAAGACCGAAGTCCTTAGCTTTGTTGAGTCGGTCATAATTGTAATCAAGACCGACCCAACCCTCACGCATTGGCTCTTAAGGCTAAAATCCTTCTTTACATTTCCTAAATCATAAAAATGTTTTTCAAACATGTTTAAGTCATTAAAAATACTTGGTGTTTGCCCAAACCAAAAACCAAGCCATCCGGCGTTCGGGTTTCAGAAACCGGCGTTCGGCTCCCGGTTATCGGCTAGGGTTTTTGGCGTCCGAACCAACCAAGTGGTTTTCAACTTTTTATGATTGGTTTTCACTCTTTGGCATGTTTAAACGGTTCTCCAACAAAAACACCTTGAAAACCATCTTTCGCTTTTAGTCGTTTGACAAAAATCATTCAAAACGGCATAAACTGGGCTAGCCGTGGTTTTCACTCAAATGACGTGGTTTTTAAAGTGTCTTACTTGATTTCTTAGCCAAATACATCAAATAAGTATTCTAAACACTTGGTTTTTATTTTGGAGAACTTTGAATTTTTCGGTCGGTTTTCGCATCGGTTGGCTAGGCCGTGGTTAAGGCAAAAACCATGGGTTCCTGACTAACCACCCACCCAGCGATGGGAAGATCTTCACATCGATGGGTAAGCGGTCCCTTAGCCAAACAAATTTCCAGAACCATGCCAAACAGCGATGGGAAGTTCTACCCATCGCTGTTCAAGCCTTGGTGCAAAATTAACACAAGGCAGAACGACCTTGCCCAGCGATGGGAAACCTGTCCCATCGATGGGAACCCAGCGATGGTAAGGGTATACCATCGATGGGAAGGCATGACCGTTGGTGGTCATTAAAGGTTGATTCTTTCCTTGTTTGGAAGTCAACCTCCCACCCAGCGATGGGAAGCTTGTACCCATCGATGGGTAGGCGACCGTTGACTTCAAAACTGAAGGAAAATTGGCTTACCAGCGATGGTTGAGTCTAAACATCGATGGGAAGCCAATATTCTGCAGATCCCAAATTTTTTCAATCCCATAAATCAAGCTAATCACCCCTTTAATGTATTGGTCCGTTGGAGCCTAATTTTGCACTATAAAAAGGGGTGTTNAACCACCCACCCAGCGATGGGAAGATCTTCCCATCGATGGGTAAGCGGTCCCTTAGCCAAACAAATTTCCAGAACCATGCCAAACAGCGATGGGAAGTTCTACCCATCGCTGTTCAAGCCTTGGTGCAAAATTAACACAAGGCAGAACGACCTTGCCCAACGATGGGAAACCTGTCCCATCGATGGGAACCCAGCGATGGTAAGGGTATACCATCAATGGGAAGGCATGACCGTTGGTGGTCATTAAAGGTTGATTCTTTCCTTGTTTGGAAGTCAACCTCCCACCCAGCGATGGGAAGCTTGTACCCATCGATGGGTAGGCGACCGTTGACTTCAAAACTGAAGGAAAATTGGCTTACCAGCAATGGTTGAGTCTAAACATCGATGGGAAGCCAATATTCTGCAGATCCCAAATTTTTTCAATCCCATAAATCAAGCTAATCACCCCTTTAATGTATTGGTCCGTTGGAGCTTAATTTTGCACTATAAAAAGGGGTGTTTGGGTCTGCTTTTATCATCAATTCACTTTACAACATCCATACTCTCATTGCATTCAAATATCATAATTTTCCATAGCTTTCTAGAGCCATTTGTTTGTGAAGGTTGAGTTGTTCTTGAGCGTACTTAGTTTACTCATAATCTACTCTACAAGAGAGTCTCGTTCTTGAGTGTACTTGTGTTCTTAGACACGTTGAGAGAAAGTGTTTCTCTCGTTGATTCAAAGGAAGGTCTGTTTCCTTTGAAGGATTCGTTGAGGTTCGTGTGACTCGAACTCTCAAGTTGTAACGGTTTGTTAAGCACCCGCAAGCTTAACGAGATAGTAGTGTAGCTCGAGAGAGTCTCTCGGGAGGCTGGATTAGCCACAAGTTGTGGTGAACCAGGGTAAAATTCGGTGCGCCTTTTACTATTCTCTTTACTTCTCGTTTAATTTTTAATTCCTGCGATTTCTCCGATCAAACGCTATTCACCCCCCCCCCCTCTAGCGTTGGTCTATTATTCTAACAATTGGTATCAGAGCCTAACTCGCGTCCAAACTTAACCGTTTGAGAGTAAAGCGATCATGGGTTCTTCTTCTAGAAATCTTTATGCAGGAATTGGAGAAGGTCAATCAACCTCGAGGCCACCGCTCTTTGAGCTCTCAATAATAAAATAAAATGGCGGACAGAGTTTCTCTCTCTGGCGATCGCGATGAACAGTAAGTGTGGGATTTCTCCACCTATGGTTGCAGATTGGTCTTCTACACTCTAAGGCGAGCCTATCCATCCTGATTTCCAGCGGCGTTGTTCAAGATTTGGGAGTCAACGAACTACCTAGGGTTCGCGACACTGTTCATCATCTTCTACAACAAGCTTCATGATGGGTTTCTGGTAAGTGTGGCTGGCCCTTCCTTTGTTTTGAGCTGTTCTTAGATGGCGAAGGGCAAGAAGAAGGAGCGTAGACCTCCACCCCCCACCCCCCCGAACAAGAAAGAGTTGCGTAACTTTCTTCGTGATATGGAGGGTGAGTCTGGGGCTGGAGGTGAGACTGTGGATTGTGTTGAGAATGTGGATAAGATTCCGGTTATGACTGAGGAGGATTTCACCCCGTGTTCCAACACTGGTGATGTGACTGTGGAAGAAGACGATGACTCTGAATCTCAGACTCCTTCTCTGGATGAGGAAAGGTTTGAGCAAGAACTGCAGAAGGATAAGCCTGGCACTAGCAATGGAGATACTCCAGTAGTTAAACCAGTAGCTATTCCTGAAGCTCCTGAAACTGTTGAACCTATTGGGAAGGAAAGCTGTGAGAATGAAACTGGAGACAATGATGGCAATGCACCTGGTAACAAAGTGGATACACCTGCTGAGAAGAAAAGCTTTGCTTCACTCTTTGAAAAGAACAGGTCTGAGGATAATGGTATGAAACTCCACCAGGTGGAAATGACTGAGGATGAGGAGGTGTTTATCCAACCTGAGGATGTGACCCCAATGGAGGAATTATGGGGACCTTGCTTGGTTGGCTGTTTTACTGGCAGGTTCCCTGGGCTGGCACCCATTCAAACATTGGTGGAGTCCTGGAAAGTACCTTGCCAATTCCTCCCTCATCATAAGGGCTGGGTGGTCTTCAAGTTCCTGAACAATGAAGACAGAGACTCAGTCTTGCATAGGGATGACCACAGAATCAACAACAAGAAGCTTTTACTCAACATCCCACAGCTTGTCAAAGATTGCCTAGGGTAGTCTTCAAAGCTTCTCTCTACCATGCCAGTTTGGGTGAAACTTATGGATGTTCCTATGCAGTTTTGGGGTCCTAACAGCTTGTCAAAGATTGCCTCAAAACTTGGAAGACCACTCTTCACAGATGGTCTGACTAACAAGGTTGCCTCCAAACTTACTGTGGAGAAGGACCCAGAGGACAATCTGGCCTACAAGAAACCCAATTTCTGTAGAGTCCTCATTCATATGGACCTCTCCAAACCTCCCCCTTCTTGTGTGAAGGTCAACTTTGTTGGAGGCAGCTATTCACAAGTTGTGGAGTATGAGGATCTCCCCCTCTACTGTTATCACTGTGAGAAATTTGGGCATACTCCTTTTGACTGTGCTCAGCTTTTTGAAATGAAAAGGAAGAAGGAACAGGAGGAACAGAGGGACAGGGAGAAGGCCAGAGTGGAAGTCCTGAAAACCACTCTCAGAACAGATACTAGGGACAAACAGGATGGCAAACAGGGTGGCAAACAGGGGCAGGACAAAAATCATGGCAAACAAAAGGAGGGATTGGAGCATACTGTTGCTCAGAAAGCCCCTGTTAACCCTGATGAACCCTCACCTTCTTTCACTAGGAAGGATGACAATGATGGATTCACATTGGTGGGAAGAGGCAAAGGAACCCTAACTACACATCCTTTGAAGCCTCAATATAGGAGAGAATCTAGAAGCATGGGGCGTGGACAGACACATGGATACAGGAATGGTGCAAACAGAGGAAGGGGAAGGGGTCCAGGCCCTAACTCTTAAATGAAGGTACTCTGCTGGAACTTTAGAGGCCTCAACAGGGCCTCTAAGCAATCTTTTTTGTGTAAATACATTATGGATCTTGGGGTGAACTTATGCTGCATTTTGGAAACCAAGATGACCCAAGCAAAACTAAACTTTTTGTCAACAATAAACTTCCTTCTTGGGCTTCAACTGATAATTTTGATATGATTGATGATGGAAGGATGGCTATATTATGGAACCCCAATTTTGTTAACTGTCAAGTTTTGGAAGTTGCTGATCAGTATATCCATTGTGGGATCTTTTGTACTATTACCCAGAAAACTTTTCACATTACATTTGTTTTTGCCTTATACAATGTAAGTGTGAGAAGGAACCTCTGGGACAGACTCACTGATATTGCTGGCAGAATCAACACTCCCTGGGCTATTATGGGAGATTTCAATGCTGTTTTGGACTCTAGTGAGAGGGTTAACTGTCATACCTATGCTTATGATATGACTGACCTCTTATAGTTTAGACTCAATAATGATCTTCTTGATGCTAAGGCTACTAGTATGCAATTCACTTGGAACAGAGGGAGCAAGTGGGCTAAGCTTGACAGGGTCTTAGTTAACTGTGAATGGGACCTCCTTCATTGGGACTGCTGGGCTGACTTTAAACCCATGGAGTTCCAATCTGATCACTGCCCTGTGGTCTTGAACCTCATTCACAACACTAACCTGGGACCAAAACCCTTCAAGTTTTTTAATATGTGGATGCAACATGAACTTTTTGACAGTGTGGTTAGACAGACTTGGGATACTAGAATCACTGGTACTAGACAATTCAGATTATGCAGAAAACTCAAATTGTTGAAACACCCTCTGAAACAGCTCAATAAGAAGGAGTTTGGTCACATTTCTACCAGAGCTGAGAATGCAAGGAGTAGCTACACAGAAATGATGACCAGGCTTATGACTGATCCACAAAACTCAGCCCTCATTGAACAAGCTGCCAGCCTTAGGAAAGAGGCAACCTTTTACAGTGATGCTGAGAGATCCTTTTTCTTACAGAAGGTGAAATGCACTTTTATCAATGAGGGTGACAAATGCACCAAGTTCTTCCATGCTATGATGAAGAAACAGAAGGTGCTGAGCTCCATCCCCTTCATCATCACTAGCCAAGGTTCCACCACAACATCTTCTGAAGCCATTGTTGAGGAATTTATTGGCCACTATAGCAACATTTTTGGTAACACTGTGCCCACATCCCCTATTGACTGGAATGTTTTTAGGGAGGGACCCCTTGTGCCACATCATGAAATCCAAAATTTGATCAAGCCTGTTGACATATCTGAGGTTAAAGAAGCACTGTTCAGCATTGGGAATGAGAAATCACCTGGACCTGATGGCTACACTGCTGCTTTCTTTAAACAGAAATTGGATATAGTTGGAAATAGTCTCTTTGAGGCTGTGTCTGAGTTCTTTACTAGTGGAAGACTTCTCAAGCAAATTAATCATGCAACTGTGGTTCTAATTCCCAAGGTCAAGGAGAACCCCACTGCCAAAGATTATAGACCCATTGCATGTTCAAATGTGGTCTATAAAGTTATTACAAAGATCCTGTCTAACAGGATGGCTTCCATCCTCCCTGATCTTATTAATCCTGCACAGGCAGCTTTTATCAAGGGCAGAAGCATGGTGGATAATATTCTTTTGGCTCAACATTTGGTTAGAGGCTATGCTAGGAAGAGATCCCCTCCTTGTTGCATGCTCAAAGTTGATATTTCTAAAGCCTATGACACTATTTCATGGGCTTTCCTGGAGAATACAATGCAAGGTCTTGGCTTTCCTCCCAAATTTGTGGGTTGGGTGATGGAGTGTGTTACAACTGCTTCCTTCTCCCTTTCTATTAATGGAGGTGTGCATGGCTTCATCAAATGTAAAAGGGGCATCAGGCAGGGTGACCCAATGGCACCCACTTTGTTCTTATTCTGTATGGAGTA